ATTGCTGACAGACGCTATTTGTACACACAACGACGCAATCCAGAATGTAACGGAAATGACGATCAGATTTCAACATCCATAGGGCACTCGGTTGGTTTTTTCCCTCTTGATGTACCAAGTTATTTACAAAAAGACAAGCACCATATCAAACATAATTTCCAAGCTACTCCTTGGTTGAATCCATGCATGCGTGAGAGCCAAAAATGAAACGCTGATGAGTGGATTGCAATAAATACTCGGAAAGATCATAATGGCATCAGCAGATGCAGAGTTGACGACCACTAAAAAAATGGGTAGACTTTCCAATGGATCTATCATCTAGTAGGTGTCTTAATTTTTTAAGTGGCGCACGAAATGGCTAGACGCAGTATACGTCAGAGATCGCACGTGGTATTTTCATCGGGTAGGCCTAATTATGGTATCAGATGGGTACATCATCATTACCTCACGGTCACATCTCAACCTTTATCGCTGTATCGCAGAGGTTCTTTATAAACTTTACCTTACTTGGGTTATTTAAAGTAGTTTTTTTTCGGTTTTAAGTTGGTTTTTATAGCACGTGGGAAGTCATTGGCTTACCAGGGGTTAAAAAACCCCGTTTTGCGTTGATCTCTCGATGACTCTCTACAAAGTGGTTTTCAATATGGCTTACGGGGACCAACGCGCTGGATCGAAGCGGAAGGACGTTAGTTGAGCGCATACAACCTAAGTGCAAAAACACGACCTACTTTAATGAACTACCAGTATGAGTGTGAGGTCACGTGCGCTAAGTATATGACTATATGATTGCCAGATGGTTTCAGTGACGAAAAATTAGGAGGGAAAAATAAACAGATAAAGGTCAGTATCACAGGGAACAGATTTGTATTGACTCGGGCATGTGGGAAGTTAAGGTGCAGAGATCCATAGGCCAAACTTTTTACGGTTCAGACTTAACTTCTTTAAAGGTGAATTGAACATAAATTTCTTATATGTAGTAATACACACAAAATGTGTCTATAATTGCCTAGAAAGCTGGTGTGTACAGATTAACAGAGAAATACAATTGGTGATACACACCACTAAAAATGATGAAAGAGCTACACTACATCACAAAGATTGTCCCACCCTATCATTCCGCCTTGCTCCGCCTTGCTCCGCCTCACCCACAATAATTGTGCGTCATCGAAGAACCGGATGAATTAGAACCTTTATTGTATCTTGGAGAGCTTGAAAAGAATTCGATCATTAATTTCGGCAAATGATGGGTCAAGTTTAGTATTTTTGTCCGAAATGTATATCGCGTTCATTGGAAGGCATATACAGAGCCTGCTTTGCAAGATGGTCTTTGGCTTGTCGAGTGTGGTCACGAAGCTACTTCTTGCTGAAAGTTGGTATAGCCATATAGCAAGGAATTGTATCGTCTAGGAATGACAAAATTGTGAGTTACGGGTGCCACATGATGAACGCTAGCTGCCCGCTGTTGGTATAGAAGATTTTAACAGCACCGACCTCTCCGTAAGGTTAAAAGGTGACAGACTGGCCTGGTTGCGGCCACGCGCTGATTCATTCCACGAATGTCGCGGGATCCAGTGCGCGCTTCAAACGGTCTGGAAATCACACTGCATCATCAGTCAAGTCAGCAAACAGGAAAGCTAGCTCAGCTGATCTGATTACAGATGGTGACTAAAAAGCTGACATGTGGGGAAATGACAACGCATCACTGGCATGGTCACGTTTACAAACATGACTTGTATGACTCTTGACTCGGACTTTTCGGACTCAAGTCACACTCGATTCAAATTTTCCGTGACTGAGGACTCGGGCTTGGACTCGGACTCGAGCTTTGCGACTCGTGACTCGATCGGACTCGGACTTACGGAGCTCTGGAGATGCCATCCAAGAAGTTGAGAGGCTAAGATAAGTTTTCACGGGATGACGACATCCTACACGTATTAATGTCAACGTCCTGCACGGGATGATGACATCGTAAAAAAAACGATGTCGACATCCTTAGATAATGTATCTAGGGATAACAACATCCCAAGGGCAAGGTGTCGACAACTTGAGAAAATTCATCGCGGGATGACGACATCCTGAAAGTAGGATTGCTTTCTCATAACTCCACTAAACATCATTCGAAGGTATCTCGGGATGTCGACATTCTACTTTCAGGATGTCGTCATTCCGTGATATATTGTCTCACGATATCGGGATCCTACTTTCAGCATGTGCTACCCGTGATAGATCCATCCGAGGATGTTATAGCATCCCTCTTAAAACATGTCATCATCCTGTGATAAGGATGTTGACATTTTCGTGCAAGATGTTGTCATCCCGTGATTCATTATGTCAGGATCTCAACATCAAGGATGGCACCTCTGGAGTTCTGTACGGACTTGACCTGCATGACTCGGGACCCGTACTCGAACTCGGGAGAGGTGACTCGGACTCGGACTCAATGTTTGGTGACTCGAATACATTCAAGTCTGTTACACAAACTAGTGCCTCTTTTGGTGAACCATCGTCTTAAAGGCTATAAGGCCAAAAAAAGAAATTTTCGGTCTCTGGTCAGACCAAAGTTCCGGAATTGACGCGGGGACGCGGCTTTTTTTTTCTTTTCTTCAAGCTTGGATTGTACAGACAAGGTGGGGTACTATTTTGCTATTTGGTGTCCTCATGTACATTGGTGTCCTCCATAATTTGCCTTGGTGCTCTCGATCATTTGCCTTGGTGCAATTTCCCATTCCTTGGTGCTCTTTGGTAAAAAAAAATTGAGGAGGTGCGGCAATAGAGGGCGCTGTTGGAGCTACCGCGGAACATTTTGGAAAAAAAAAAGATTGACGCGCATGATTAAAATCGACGCGCGCGCTGACCAGAGGCCTAATACTAAAACTTTTTTTTATAACCAATGCTCCCAACAATTGTTTGAAAAACGGAACAGAAATAACAATCTGGAAATTAGACAGGAAATTAGAACAGGAAAGTAGACTGTGAGACCAACCCCCCCCCCAAAAAAAATAACCCCAACAAATTGAAAACAAGGGCATTATTGTTTACCCCGGTCCAGTAATTGTTACATTGTTAGTGATTGAGAAAATGGTGATATGGGGCGCGCCCTTTGTCAATGATTGTTTAGCGCATTTTGGACATGTTTTTACCAGGGTTTATTATTAGATGCGCCATAGAATGAATGAATGAAATGAATCCTGGTTTGCAACAAAACCATATTGTTTACAGCTAGACTGAATATTTTTGCACATAAACATTGTTAGTGATTGAGAAAATGGTGATATGGGGCGCGCCCTTTGTCAATGATTGTTTAGCGCATTTTGGACATGTTTTTACCAGGGTTTATTATTAGATGCGCCATAGAATGAATGAATGAAATGAATCCTGGTTTGCAACAAAACCATATTGTTTACAGCTAGACTGAATATTTTTGCACATAAACAATATTGTTTGCACATCTAAACGATATTGTCTGCACATAAACAATATTGTTTGCACGCCAACATTGCACACGTGCAAACAATATGCAAACACTATATGTAATCAAATATAAGGTTAATGAAGTAAACTGGACCCATTTTTCATCCCTTTCATTTAGACTTAACGCAGTTACTCTCTAAATTCCAAAGAGTGAAATTAGGGACTAGACGTTTTAGAGTGAAAATCACTCTCATTTTCGATCAGACATGAAAAATGAACCACTTCAATCGAAGCTCGAGTGAAACCTTGATCTTTTCGATTGAAGAAATTTCACTCTAAAACGTCTAGTCCCTTTAGTTTCCGACTGTGGGAGTGAATCTTCACTCGAATGGAGTGAATTTTCACTCTTTAGAATTTAGAGAGTAATACTGAGAGGTCTAGGGCTATTTTGGCGTGAATTAAAGGATAAATGTAAACATTTCCGTCATGCACCATGTCCAACATTTACTGGCAAAATGCCAACTAGCATCAGCAGGTCGGGAATTTCCTTCATTTCGAAACATCCTGAATAATAAATCATCACGTGCAAAAGTTCAAGCGCCAATTGTATTCGGTCATCGCCATAATGGGGTAGACTAGAGGAAATATTTGGAGGAATTGTGCCTTTGATGATACTAGCTTTGAATTTGGTTGAACATGTGTAAGGCCGTCGCAGATTTGTCCTTTCAAAAACTTTAGGTAGAACGATAATACTAAACAAGAAATTTCCCATGACATACATTATGTCATTAAATCATTAGATTTATTAAATCATTAAATTGGACTACGGGGAAGGGCGCCCCATGGCGTTAGGTAGGTAAACGCGCTGGTAACTTCACGGAACAATATTGGGTGTTAAATGCAAGCGGGATTTTAGGAGAAAAAAACTGACCGGGGTCGAGGAAATTGTATCCAAAGAGTCCCCTTCCCCTCCCCTCACTTTTTTGTGCTGAGAAACAAAAATGTGCCCGCTAAAAATGCATTCATTAGTACTGAAATTTTCTGGGGAAAAAAGGAGAAAAAGTGCATAAAAAGCTTTAAATACGTCGTTTTGCTGTTAGGTTAGTGGCGTAACTCGTGTACACAAATAATTATGTACATCTGCATCATGAGCAGCGCCCCCTAGAGTCATGTGGTCTCCACCCCAAGCGCTTTTCTTATTTCCACTGCCAAAAATTTGTAAGAATGAAACAATTAAAGTCATCAATATTTAATAAATTAAATCAACAACTAATTTTTAAAAATACTGTTACTAATTCTTGTTGAGAATAAATGACAATAACACACATGTTGCGTTGAATAATGGAAAGATATTTCAGGAAATTAAAATACCCGCCCACAGCTCATTAGCATAATACTACATGTACAATTGTCAAATTTCGAATTTCTTGTGGAGGCACTTTACTTTGGCATTTCCCCGGCCCGGCCCCATGAAGCACAATGAGTGGTCAGTCTATCAAACGGAGAACAGCCTTTTACCTATCCAACGCTAAAGGCGCCCTTCCCATCGACAGGAAAAAGCCGTCTGTTGTGATCCGTCGTGTTGCTTGACTTCTTTCCGTGATATGAAGAGATATGCTGACGGGCACCAGATGCTGAACATAAAACATGTTGCCGTGCGCGTGCAAAACAGTCAAGAAAAGGCGAGTAAAACCATCTTTCCATTTTTTGATTTAGGCGAGTAAAACCATCATTTGATTTTAAAATAAAATAAGTGAATTGTGCCTAAGTGTTAGAATAAATTGTATTGCAATTACATGGTCTAAGTCGATGCCAGTTTTGTCGTAACAAAAAAAAAGGAAGACCCGGAAGTGGACCCAGCACAGCAGCCCAGCATAGCAGCAGCCCGCGTATTTTTTTTCCTAGGAGGGTTAGGGGCAATGTCATGAATAATTCAGTTTTTCCTTTGAATCATTGCAAGACTTAGGTTCTCGTTCTATTTTCCCCTTAATTTAAAATTATCTTGGTGATAAATTTGGAGAAGAAATATAGCTGATGAAAATGAGCAGCGACGACGTGGATTTGAACTAGTCCGAGTAACTTGGACCCAACTTATCGCCTTTTTTAACATTTGGACATGGTCTGGCGATAGTAAGGTCCAAGCTAATACCGCGACCTAGACAACACAGTCCCAAAAACCAACATTTTCCAACACAAAACATCAGATTTCACCTTCAAAACGGCCTCCAAATTACTAGAAATGCCACCTGAGGTACAAGTAGACATCGATAATTAAGATGGTTGTACTGAAGTTTACTTACGATCCGGAAAAAAGTGAAATTTTCCGTTCATTTCGGAGAGCTCCCCTCGCGATCTTGAACACGTTAAATTTCCGATCGTGTTTAATGTTTGAACGACGCGATTTCTTCTACATGCCCAGCGTACATTCGATGGTCCCCGTATCCCGAGTGCGATTCCGTTACCGAGCGCGCGCGATGCATTGATTATGATAATGAGTCACGTTTGTAAACACATACATGTGCATTTCGAACTGTAAAAGGGAATCGGGAACCAGCTTGAACTGGTATCCACCATAAAAGCTGCGCTAGTTCCCGACTCCCTATTATTGTTTGAAATGCACATGTGTTTACAAACGTGATCCAGTCTACTCATTATCATAATCGACGGTGTTGTCCAGCTCGCGGTATTAGCTTGGACCTTACTATCGCCAGACCATGTCCCATCTTTGTATCCCAATGTGTGCCATTGAAAATAGAAAAACACTGTACAAAGTCTTGGAAAGATTTGAATTTCCTCTTTTGTTGTGACTTCCCAGTTGCATGCCTGGTATCCATAGCTCATCTCGCTATCCACTAGGCTACTGTGTGGTAGCTCGACGACAACCGTTCTTTAAAATGCTTTAATGTATTGTAACTAGTTGAGTAACTAACAACAATGCTGTTGATGTCATTGTCCGTTCTCATGGATAAACATGAATTATTCATGACATTGCCCCTAACCCTCCTAGGAATACAAATTACGCAGCCTAGTTCCCGGGGGGGGGGGGGGGGAGCTATTATTTGTAATTCAGAGTGCAGTGGCTTCATGGTATGGGACAAGGAATGGAAAAAATGTTGCAATCTGACGCCATTTTCGAAACAAAGTATTAATGAATTAAGCGTGTTAAGCAGTGCTGTGCTGTGGATCGTTATTACTTCCGGGAGTAGGGCCTAACTATAGAATGCAGGGCCACGCCGGAAAAGGTTTTTTTGGTAGTTGGATGCGATGTGGGGAGTGGGGTTGTTGAGTAGAATGGCACTCTTTTGAGAACGAAGCAGTCGTTTGTCGACCCTGGTCAAAAAAAAATTTATTACAGATTTGAAAAGAGCACAATGGCAGCATTACTGTCGTGTGAAAACCTCATGCGAAAACCTCATGCTGATACCATCTGTAGTTAAAATATTATGGAAGTCGTTACACCAAGAGATGTGATGAAGTGATGTGATGAAGTGGCTCGATTTTGGCCTGTATCTCCAAATAAAAAATCCCGACAAATGATTCATTTAGCTTGATCGCATCACATATGCTTTTTGGCATGCATAGAGCCCAAATGTTACATCATTATTAAACTTGAAATAATAAAAATTACTCTTGCGTTTAAACAGATATACATACTTCAAACAGTAAGGTACCCAAACGTACTTGGGCTTAGCAAGATGCTCGGCTTATCGTTAGCAGTGTGTGCCGGATTGTGTGCGGCCTGCGCCTCGGCATTTGCCAAACTGGCCATGTCGGGAGAGGAGATCGCCCTCGTGTGTCAGAGCCTGGAAGAGTCTGTCGCCATGGGAACGCTGATGCCCAACTGCTCAGTGGTGAGTCAAGATGGCAACCTGAACCAAATGTTCATTCAGTGAAATTCATTGAGCTGCTATGAAGTTTTGAATAATTTAGTATTCAAATATTTGAATATATCCGAAATGCACTGACACGTTTAACACGCTCCAGCCTAAGCTGGCCGCTGATTGGAATTAATGTGTGGAAAATTGACATTGAGCGTATTAAACATAATAATAAAGAACAGCTACTGGGATGGCTTATATTTGACTGATTTTAAACATAAAATTGAGCTATAAAGAGCAGAAAACCTATCACCGGTAATAGGCCAACTTATAATCATTATGCGTTTAAAGCTATAGTCCATCATTTGTAATTAGTGCATTTTGTTCGTTTGAAGCAACAAAAGTGTTCAAAATCTAATGAAGGATACTGAACAACTTACTTGATGAAGTTTCAGCTCAGCTTCAGCTTTATATTCTGAGAAAAACAGCATTCTAGGATCTCAATTTCAAATCAAAAGTTGCTAAATCATGTTTCGAATTGTTTTGAATTGCAGCTTTACGCGATGTCGCGCACTGATCCGACGAATTATAGCAACCGCGCGCGCCTGTGCGTCGTTCCAATGCTTGTGCGCGCTGCGCCGAATAACAAAACGAACTACTAATTTAAATTTTCCTACGGTGCTTCTTAAGACGCACCGTTGGAAATGCCTTCTTTCGTTGATTTCTTCAAAATGAGAGCTTGCCAGAAAGGATAATTTCACAGGGAGTTTAGTCCCCTTACTATCTTTCAACCAGTATGTTTTTCAACAATAATTACGCCAGTTACTTTTTTGGATAGCTGCAAATGATGGACTCGGGCTTTAAGGCAACTCAATTCCCCAACATTTCCATAGGCTGGCAATAAACGTTTCACCATTCATAAAGTCTTGGTCCTATAAATTATCTGGATGCTTGTCATCAGGTAGATCACACTAGCCATCATAATTTGTGAACAATTTCAAATTTTCGTCAAAGTATTCAAAAGCATTGTAGGTTGTTTTTTTTCGCCCGCAAGTTGTATGTGTTTAAATCTGTTGGGGTCATTTTTGAACAGGTCACGACAGTTCTACGTGGCATATCATTCTCCCTTCTGTTTCTCTTCAATGCAATCATGTGGACCTTGTTTGTCAAGTCACTACAGCTAGCCAGGTCATCACTAGAGGCAACGATTACCAACAGTTCAGCTAACTTGTTCTTTACAGTAAGTGACCCCCAACCCAACCAAAACTTCCCAACCCCCTCTATCCACCACCCCCCTCACCATTCCCCCCCCCCATCCCCCAACCCCTCCCCCCCATCCCCCAACCCCTCCCCCACCCCAACCCCTCCCCCACCCCTCCACAAAAAAAACCTTTGATATCATTGAAATATGTTGTATGTAATTTTCTGTATATACAGATGCAGCACCTTGATTGTAAAAATTTGGCTCAAATGAAATTTGAATAACATGGGAGTAATCAATTAATTCGCAACTCAAATCACAAAAAGTCACAATGATAACTGTTTATGTTACAGTTTATTGGAACCACTTGTGCCTAAGTACTGGTTGACTCAATTTGTAAAATCTTGCCAAATATTTTTGTAACCTGTTGAATTTTGAGTGGTCAGAGAGTAACAATTGCATGAGTGTTCACTTCTAAATTAGATTAAGTCCAAGCAAAGGTCCCCCTTTTTGGCCCATACATAAGGCCATGCTTTCTTTAATTACACAATCATCGCGAAGGCTAATAACACAAAAAAATCTTGTGGACATTCTCGTTGCAGATGCCCTACAATAAGGAAAAAAACACTGAAATCCATGAATATCTTAGAGGGTTAAACATTTGTTACGTATCGGATTTGCCCATTATTTGGTGGATTTCTATTCATCTAGTCTTTCAGGTATCATATGATATTCAATAAATCGGAAGAGATTTCATCTTAATTCCCTTCAGGCAGTGATTGGTTATGTGGTATTCGGCGAAGCGTTGTCGCTGACTTGGGGTCTGGGATCCACATTCATCATCCTGGGCCTGTGGATGATTCACAGGGGCGGAAGGACCAAGGACGAAGTTAAGGAAAGGTGATGGACTGCGGCAAACATGCTGTTTTGAAGGTTCGAGGTCGGCTTATGTATGAAATGTTGAGGGCAGTGTATGTAGTCTTCTCATCAGAGCCAAGTGAGTGCACTGTAATGGATCTAAGAAGGACCTGTTTTAACCACTTCGCGCTGGGATTATTTTTGCTGAACATTTTGCTTTTCGCAAAAGGCAAACATTTTCTAGCCAACTTCTGATATACAGCCAAAACGCCACAAATACTGATTTGCTAGAGTAATTTGAACAGTATTTGTACGATATTTCTTGCTGAAACCTCATATGCTTCAACACTCCGTGGTGGGCACTGGAGTGTATATTGTACAACAATAGTCAGTGCACAGCGACCAATTCAAGATCAACACACAGTCCACCTCCACAGACTTCACGGACTTTGTGTGTGTGTACAAAAGGCATGAGGAATGAGCTTGTTTAAACGTCACCCAGAGTCAAGTCGAGGCAATCTGGACGTCTTAACCTATCGGCTGTGCCTGTGTATAAAAACGGCAAGTGCGTGTTATCACAACTTCACGTCCTCCAACGCGAATGAGTTATAAGGGCACTATCTACTCACCAGACCTATGGCTCCGTTGACAAAAAAACCTCCACAGTTACAGAGAGTTGGAGGAGAGTGCTCGAACGGAACATCAGAATGCATTATTGATGATGCCTGACGCTCACGCGAAGACGCTCAACAGTTTGTGCACACTTAGCAATAAAACTAAAAATTGAATAATCTCAGCAAAATCTTCAAGTAATTCTGTTTTTAAAAAGTGGATATTTTTATGACAATTATAAATTAACACCGTCAAAGAAATAGTTTATGTTTTAAAGAAAGTCTGATATGAGTATATTCAAGGTTTACTTTGATTAATATTGCCACCTTGATGTAAAAGTCTGACCTCTGACAACGTGGCAGATGACCATCTGGTTCCAACAAAAAAATTCAAAAATAAATTGAAATGTCCTTGGTTTGTTCAATAGATAATTGACCTTGAACGATGTACCGTGATATATTAAACTGTATGAAATACATGTCATGCACAATCTGGAAGAGCGTCGTTTTTAACTGGTTTTGCTTTATAACAAACTAGAAAAAAAATATCAACCAACAAATAATTACTAATGATGTATCCGAACCCCCCCCCCCCCCATGTTTCACCCTGGTAGCTGAAAAAACATATTTCCAGTTTTTCCCAGCCACTTAAAACAGGTTGTTGTCTGTCTCTGAAATAAGAATTGTAGCCAATTGTTTACAAAATAGGAACATATGGTCCGGTGAAATGGCTAACCAATAGAGTTTATGAGTGCCTTTGATATGCCACTTGTACTGTCGGTGCATCACTCACGATCCAGAAATGTGTTTTTGTCGAGAACCTGAATTCTCCATAAATAGGGATCCCACTGTTCTGGGTGATTTATTAAGACTGCAGAAGGGTGAACCGGACTCCGTTTCTTCACATCAGTGTCTGCTTGAACAGTGTTAAACTGTTAAGAATTTAAATCTGTCGGCAAGATGAAGCTTAACTGCATCATCGCCATCCTAATTCTGGGTCTGGTGGATGTGGCGCTCGGAGGACTGCGTTACCTTGGTAACTACATTTGTTTTTTACTAGTGATGGGAAAAATCAGAGATTTCAAAATCTGGTTTAAAGCAGAAATTTCAAAATGCAGTTAAAATCAGAGATTTCAAAATCCGGATATCTTAATTTTTTTCAAGCGGTTATCGAATTTCACCTGAAGTTCCCATTAAGCTGATCACAGGCATTCCAACAAAAAGTTACAAGTGAGGTGTCCCATGCACTGCCAACCACGATGATTGGGTATAGTTTGCTGGATTCAGTGACCACCGGGCCTTTACAAAAACACTCTATGGAGTTGTAATGGTTATAAAAATGGGCGGGAACTCTCAGATTAGTCAAAGGCAGGCCACTCGTTGACCAAAACGACCACTAGCGAGTGAATGCGGTTATAGCATGGCAGATAGGTGATGGGATTGTACCTTTGATGATACAAACATGGCATTTGGCACACAGTCAGAGTATGTCATGAAAAAGATATTTGGCTACAGGGCCATGGCAGATTTGTCCTTTAAAAAAAAATAAAGGTAGACTAGCAAGCAATTGCAGCCATTTTGACAATTTTAAAAATTGCTTGTTATTGTACCTATATTTTTTTCAAAGGAGAAATGTGCGATGGCCATATAGCCAAATAGGGAGGTTTCGCAAGCGAACGGATACGCTTACACTTACGCTTAGCTATCCGTATCCGTTTTTTACTTACGTGTAGCGAGCGAGATATGCGTGTCGTCTGCACGTTTAGCGGATAGTGAGTGGCGTATGACGTCACACGTGCAGACGACACGCATATCTCGCTCGCTACACGTAAGTAAAAAACGGATACGGATAGCTAAACGTAAGTGTAAGCGTATCCGTTCGCTTGGGAAACCTCCCTAATATCTCTCTCATGACATACTCTTAGTGCCAAATGCCATGTTTGTATCATCAAAGGCACAATTCCCCAAAGCATTTCCCCTATCCGCCCCACTATCACAATCGGAGACCATGGAGCAAATTGAATTATGTTCCAGTTGTTTTCTTCAGCTTGTGCGCCACCAAAAATAAAAAGCTTAATTTTTTGAAGGTCGGATTCAAATACTTGGTTTCCAAAATAAAAACCAAATAGTGAAACTTTAACCGAATTTAACAAAATCCAGATTTTAATCTTACCACTAGATATTACATCTTGATACGATCCATTTTGTTTGAAAGTCCAACATTCAGAGATCTTCCTACATTACAAGTCAAAGAGAGCTTTCAGCCGAATCTGTCACGTTCTTTTAAAACTTTTACTTGTACCTCTTTCTTTTTGTACCATCCTTAAATTAGTGCTGAGTCCTACACAAGTCTGTCACAAGAACAGTCACAATTGAAGCACTACACAGTGAAGACAAATCACAAGTCATGGCACAAGTAAGGAGGGCGGAAGAATAACAAAAGGGTTGCCTCTCCCCCCCCCCCCCCCCCCCATGGCACAGTTCATTTGAAAAGCTTGTAACTGGATCACTTGTGATTGACTTGTGATAGATTCGTTTACAGCACTGCCTAAAACTCCTACTTTGCCCCAATTTGGTAGATATTGTGGTGGATCTTGTCCGCATCGACGTGCCGGCCGACTCCACCATCTACGACGGCGGCATCGCGCCGGTCAACTTCTGCACCTACTTCACGCCGGACAACGGCGCCGCGATCATCCTGAATCGCTTTCAGAGCGAGCGCTACAAGCTGACGGCCTTCCTCGCAACGGACGGCAAGGGGTCCAACCCCACGGCGGTCACAGATGCTGTCATACCATTGGCCGACCAGCTGCAACCAGTCACTGATGGCAAACAGGTTTGTCTCTTCCCTAAAAAAACTTTTATGAAAATCCAAACAATTAGTTGTGTAACCATTACATTTTCTATAATAGTTTTCCTAACCATTTCCTAACCTAAATGAGAATGGTGCATTTGTACACTTTTAGTTAATACAAGCTGATTTGCCCGATCATAGATCGGGTATATAGGGCGTAGTGTTGGGGATGAAAATGTGGGCAGTTAAATGTAAATGGGGGATCATTGAGGAGACATGCAGTAATAGAAAAGCAATTTTTGTGGTGTGATCTGAGGCAATTTCTGACCACTAAAACCAATTTGAGCAAAAGATCATCTTTTAAACATCATTTTCGAGCTTGGGGTAATTGAATCAGCTACATGATATTCTGAGCAATAGAATCATTATAGTAGGCTACAATTTTTATTCGGGGAAGAACAAGTGGGATTTTATCAGCGCTCCCCATTGAAAATATGGCACGAGCACCCCCCCCCCCCCTCCCCACACACTCACACGTATTGATTTTCAGAGGCCTAAGTGTCCAGAGAAAATAACCTGTCTACATTTCAGCACCCCTCCCTGCAAAAAAATCTGGATCCACCTTGCTAGCCCCCTCCAAAATGTTGGCTCTAGAACTGCGCCTTTCTCAGCTCCCTGGGGAGTATACAGCCCTATACTGCCATGTATATTTCGGCGCAAAGCAGCTATAATCAGCCACAATAACCATCTCTGCCCTCACGGGTACCCAATATACTCCTGGATGGGGAGAAGCAATGAGTGGCAAAGTGCCTTGCCCAAGGGCACATGCACCATAACTCCAGGCTGGACTCAACCCACAACCTGCAGAATTACCTGCAGGCCACGGTGACTGCTCTATGTTCCGACACCCCTATGTTCCGACAACCTTGATTGTGTTACTCCCGGTTAGGGTTAGGGTTAGGGTTAGGGTTAGGAATAGGAATATGTGCAGTCGGAACATAGGGGTGTCGGAACATAGAGGTGTAACCCAGGCCACAAATTCAATGCTCTAGACCATGGCGCTAATGGCATAGTTTCAGTGTTCTACTCTCTGAATCCTACAAAATCTTGAATCATTCTAAGAGGTATTGCTGAGGGTTATGGAGTCTATTTTTGAATGGGTTCAGGACCAAGCTTCATCTGTTGTGAAAATGAGGGGCAGGGTTGAAAAACAGAAGACAGAGTATAACCCCAAATTTTGTTTTTGAATGTCCTATATTGGATCGATAGTTTATGTTAATTTCCCCAGGTGATTCTCTTTGATGCTGATGTGGCGTTTGATCTGACAAACGTGGACTGCTACAACAATCACTTCCCCTATGCCTGTGTGACCCTTGGCCCAGCCGACGCAGTGGCTAATCACTGGCAGCCCAGCGCCTCATCTGTGCTGACCAAGTGTGTCCCCATCATCTGCAAACCTCGTAAGTGGAGCCAGATTTATGGGGGAGAGTGGGGGGTCACAACAAAATACAGCTCCTTTATTAAAACTTTGCACTAGGGAGTAGAAATTTATATATATATATATATAAGCATATATTGATTTTATAATAGACTCTGATGTCGTTCCAAACAACTGCAATAGTTGACGTAGCCACCCAATCTGTTTCAAATCTTGTACTTTTCATGTACTGAATACTAACTTGGGAACAATTTATTTTCACGCAACTCTGGAATGCCAGTCTGGAACACGTACAACTCTCATCACGAAAGCTGATAGAGAGGGAAAGAGAAAGACGTACCTAATCCATTCAGTATTCCCCACTTGGATAGGCCTACAGTCCTATACATCAACTACCTGGCTTACTGTCAATAAGTTCAGAGTTCATAGGTTTTCTTTTATTCCCACAGAACCCCTGAAAGTGGACCTAGACTACGTGGATGTTGACATACCACGCAATGCCATCATAGTCGACGGTGCAGTCGTAGACCTGTCCCTCTGCGTCTACTTCACCCCAAAAGATGGCGCGGCCCAGGAGTTGAATGCACTTGGCGCGGTCGAGCGCTACAAGCTCGTTGCGTTCCTGGCTACCACACCCAACGGCGGGGGCAAGACCGCGCCCGTCACGGGAACCATCCACAAACTGGACCAGACCCAGGTATTGACAGACGGGAAACAATTCTCGTTCTACGATGCCGAGTTTTCGCTGGATCTGTCCGGTGTGGATTGCACAAACGGCGCGTTCCCGTACATCTGCGCCACGCTTTCCCCCGTTGGGCCGTGGGAGCTGGTGGCTGGTTCTGTGCGAACAGTCTGCACACCCATCATTTGTCTTGGTAAGTTGAATGATTTCCCAAATTCCATCAATGCACTACTCCATTGAACATTATTGGAAGCCGAGGATTTTGCAGGATTAAGGCAGTCTTCACCCCTCCAAAGACCACATTCAAGAAATAACGGAGGATTTTGCAGGAATGAGCCTGCGTGTAATTTTTAAAATGAGGCAGTTGGAGGATTTAGGTTTATACATCCTAGCAAAAATGCCTGGGGAGTTCGGGAGAATATAGTTATCAAAATCCTCTGAAACTCCCTTTTAAATTTTGAAGAATCAGAGATCGAGTCTTAGAATTGAAGATGAAAATAACTAAATTTCCAAACAGCTCAGGATAACTTCAAAGTGCAGCATGCGTGCGAGGGCCAAGAGTTCCGCTTGACCTGCCCAGCTGGCTTTGGGGTCCACGTTGCCCATGCCCTCTACGGCCGCATCGTGCCAGGCAACGTAGTCTGCCCAAGCAACTCAATCCTGACGACCAAATGCCTGGCCCTTAATGCCTTGAATGTGGTGCGAAACAAGTGCGAGGGAAGCAGCTCGTGCTGGTTCAACGCCAATAGCAATCTCTTCGGGAATCCGTGTGTTGGGACCCACAAATACCTCCATGTCTTCTATCTTTGTGAGTATTTGCAGCACTGTAGACTTGGGGGGGGGGAGGGAGGAGGAGGGGAGGAGGGGGTGTTCTGGATTCCACTTTGGGGGTTTGACAACTCTGTCCCTCCTCAAGCATTAGGTTAAGAAACAGGCCTGGTATGTGCTACACTCTGAGAATTCAAAGTGAAAACATTATAGATACTTATGTGTGGTATTAGTCGTGTATTCATCCTTTGTGCATTATTCTCATGCAAAGATGCTATTGGTTTGTGTACATACAGTTAAAAATTGGTTACTTGCACCCCAGTGTTTTTTTCAGGGAGGCGACCCCCCTCCCCCCCCTCCCCCAAATAAAAAAAAAACTCAATTTAATAGAATTCTATAAAAGCGATTTTTAGGCAGCTTTCTTTCCCCTTGCACTATGGTGAGACAGGCTTGTTAAAATCTTTTCTGATTTCAAATCTTTTCGGATTTCAAGGTTTTATCTAACAAGTTGATTTGCTACCAGATTCAAAATGCTCTCAATGTCTCAGGTACATCTATGTTTATATTTTAAGGTGCTATAAAGTCAATCACAAGTCAGGGCACAAGATTATAGGAACACGGACAACATTTGAAGAGCTGGTTACTTGATTTTAGACAAGTTGTGATTGACTTTGGATGATGTGTGATGACCGGAATGCAACTTGAGTTTGTTTTAACACTGACAGGTTATCCTTCCCCGATTTCCCCCCTCCCACCCCCTCTCGAAAAAAACCGGCAAATTGCTTTCAATTTTGAAGAAATTGTCTTCCGTCCGTGACCTCCACAGGTAAAGAGAAGCCCTTGGTGAAGCAGGCCTGCGAGGACGGGTTTGTTCAGATTGACTGCCCATCTGGCAAGGGCATCCGCGTCATCGATGCAAACTACGGCCGCTACTCTGGCGAGAACGTCTGCGGCACCACGGCAAACAGGAACTGCATCGCTCCAAACTCCTTGCTGGCCGTCCAGACTAAGTGTCAGGGCAAGAGGTGGTGCAAGGTCCCCGCAACCGACGCCTTCTTCAGCGACCCCTGCCCGTGGACGTCCAAGTATCTCAAGGTTTATTACAAGTGTAAGTAGACTGCTTTCCTAACATCACAAACATTTTTGCATTGGATGAAATTAACATTTCATCCACAAAATGTCGCCGTCATCAGTTGAGTTGGAAGTTTGGGTGTTGTTTTGTTTTGCTTTCTGCCAGGTGACTACCCAATCATGCAGAAGAAGGTCGTCTGCCAAGGCAGTAACTTGGGACTGGACTGCAAGTCCGGGTACGTCATCAAGATTAATTACGCCCTCTACGGTCGGGTGCATGGAAGCGGCGTTTGCAACAGCAACTCCTTGGGCAATTTCAACTGCCAAGCTGAAAACGCTTTATCGGTAGGTTACACGCAGCATGAGAACTGCTGTCCAGACAGTTTAATTAATCTGTGGTTTACTATTGCATCTTTCTACTTGCTGCGAGATATGAGGCAGACGGGATAATATCAAAATCTGTGTACATTGAATAATTATGATAAAAGTTTTGCATGGACTAAATGCGTGGAGTGCTGTGGCCTCGTGGTTAAGGGCATTGGATTCGTAGTCTGCAGGTTGTAGGTTCGAGTCCAGCCTGGGGTCATGGTGTGTTGTGCCCTTGGGCAAGGCACTTTGTCACTCATTGCTTCTCTCCACCCAGGAGTAAATGGGTACCTGTGAGGGCAGAGATGGTTATTGTGATTGAATTAGCTTCCTTGCGCCTAACAGGCAGCATCGAGCTGTATACTCCCCAGGGAGCTGAGATGGGATTTGGAATGTTTCATTGGCCCAATGATTAGGGGTAATAATAATGTAAAGCGCTTTGATCTATAGTTAAAAGCGCTATATAAGAACCCGTTATTATATTAAATGGGGAGTCAGGTTAGACTTGAAATCAAGTCGTTAGAAATCAAGTCGTGTTTTGTCCAACGAGCCCCCCAATATTAACTAGCATGGCGCTAGCTGGCGCCCTGTATCATGTTTACATGCGGCATCCGACAGGTCTAACGACATGACTTATATGAATTCGCACGATTATTCATTTATGCGCCCAGCAAAATGCATATGTATTATGTTTCCATAGAGAGGGCCAATGATAACCCGCGATGCAACACAGCTTGGATAGAATGGATAGCTCGAAGGGTCGAAAGCTAATTCCTGGGTCGTTTGGAATCCATGCATCATTATATTCTCATTCGAAAAACAAGATTTGGACATTCTATTTTTTTATTTTGCCACCGAGTGAAGTATTTTATAGCAAATCTTTTGAAAAAGAGAGAGAGAAAAAAGAAACGTGCATTAATCAAGCATTCTGTGAACAGCATCCCCAATCCAATAATGGATGCTTCCCAGTGATACAGCCGGCCGACTGCATCGCCGGGAATATGCTAGAGAAAGGGATTTTGGAAAATAATGTGCTTTGCCCCCCTCTGGAAAAATATCCTGGCGATGCCCATGCTTGTATAATTGCAAGGCAGAACCAAGTAAATTAGACAGGGCCAAACACTTCTTTGTTTACTCTGACTTTAATTCGTAAATGCTGTCTGTTTATTTCCCGGTACAAAATACACTTTATATTCTCGTTTTTTATCCAGGTTGTGAAGAATAAATGCGAAGGGAAGAAGTGGTGCAGCGTTCCAGCCAACAACTACACCTTTGGCAACCCATGCAAGGGAACACACAAGTACCTCTTTGTCCGCTACTGGTGCAAAAAGCATTAGGTTCATCAGTCTGGCTCGGTCTATGTCCATCATAGATTGAACCTGTCATCTGATAAACGTGCAGGAGTTATGTCCTACAAACTATCAAATGAGTGTGATTTTAGAGTTTATATAAAAGTAACATAAGTAGGAGGTTCACTGACACAGCAACATTTCTAATCGTGGAGTTAGCATTGGTAAAAAGGTATCAAACAAAGTTTTAGAACCCTACCACCCCCCAAAAAATCTCCATACCAAACATCAGTTCATTTAAAAAAAAAAGGTTTGTTTTTGGTATTAACATAATGACGCTTCGTTTTCCACAATTCTTGTCTGAATTCCATACTAATTTTACCACCTTATCAAAAAAAAAAATCCTGACCACCGACCTGAATTTTTGTCCAAAAGTTTTCCAAATTGAGTTTTTTTTTTTAAATACTTACACAAATACTCCAAACTCTCCTCACAATCGGGTCCTTAAACTATAAAATGCTTCCATTTTCCTCCCCTCCCCCCCTTAAAAAAATGTCTATTGATCAACCGTATAGAACAAAGAGATGACTGTCCAACAATGCAATTTCACAATTTGAACTTCAGCTTGAAGGAATTATAGTCTGATGTCTAATTACCAATATTATTTACATTAATTTAGTAACAATGCAAATAAAAAAGTTTGGTTCAGTATCAGAAGGAAAAGTAATGTCAAAACTTTTTAGTTTTGTGTGTTTGTTCATTCTTTTGTATGGAGGAAGGTTGCAACCATTCATCTGCATGGGCGTCACCAGGATTTTTTCTAGAGGGGGGTCAAACATTTTTTCCAAAATTTTTTTCCTGTATTTCTCAACATATTCTCGATTTTTCAGTTTGAGAGGGGGGCAGGGACATTTTGCCCCCCCCCCCCCAGCTCATTAAATTTACACCACTATGACTTGGCGCCTCTTGTTCCTTTCTTTTTTTCTCTCTCTTTTTTTCTTCCTTTTTTTTTTTTTTTTTGCTTTTCCGGCCTTGCTCCCCCCCCCCCCTCGCGACGCCCATGTTCATCAGAGTAGGCACACCGCTAGGATTTTTCGAGGTAGTTATGGGAAGGGGGTATTAACCAGTAGTGCAGTGAGAATTGTTGGCCATGGAAAAATTGATTGGTGGGAGGGAAGGGGCTGGACAGCATTTAACTTTTGGGCATGCATGCCCAGTGACAGGCACGTTTCAGTGGGTGCACACCTATGTTCCCCAATACCGATGTTCCCAATACCGATATTCCCCGAAATCCTTACCATATAGCCCTAAAACCCTAACCCTTAGGATTTCTGGGAACAGTGGTATTGGGGAACATCGGGTAGACCCCGTCTCAGGCCCCTTTCTGGCAGTTGCAAGTTTAACAGACCATAACTTCAACCCTCATTCTAAAATATTGGTTCCCCCCCGTTTTTTTCCTCCCAGGGTGGGGAAGAGCCCCCCCCCCCCCACCCCCCAAAACGTCAACAGTTGTGAGATTTACCCCTTTTCCCTCCTAAGATTTCAACATCCTAACATACGGTAGAAATCGAATCCATTTTACGCTGGAACAGGATTATAAATTCGCCAAGATGTTGTCACGGGAAGCTATAAGATGCTTGTTGCCATAATTAATTGCCATGGGGAAAAAAACAGTGACACAAGGGATTACAGTAAGCCCCGCCCAATGGTATTTTGACCAATCTCAACCGTTACCAATGTCCGAAATGCGTGCACGCGCGTATCATGACGCGCAGTGTGAATTGGAGAGGTTCACGCGTTGGATGCCCAGGTGCGCAGTGGGCGGGACTTGTTTCCCTCAGAGGCACTGTGAAATTAACCTAATAAAGCAATCTCAACAAAGTTCGTTACGACTTTGATCATCGCTGAGAAATGAAACAAAAACTTCTCACTCGTTGCATGTGAGTTAGAATTGGTTAAAATTATTTATTAGTAAATACCAAGTTCATGTTAAAATTTATAATTTAAAATACACTGAGGAAACCGATAGACAACGGACCTATGAATCTGGATCACTTAACTTGATCAACGTGAAACACTTTACGATTTAATGCCCCTGTTCTGATGACGTCACGCTGTTTACTTGTGCGCTTTTCTATGTGGCAACGAAACTGTGGTCCCCACTAGGCTCCCGTAGGAAAGTATGCACGCCTTGTCCTCGAGAGCTATGTTAAGTACGACTGTGCGTAAACAAACTGTGACGTCATAGGTACAGAGACTTATTGAAAAGTGAAACTAAAACGTGTTTTTTTTTACAAAACGTAATCTTTTACATAATCACTTAAATAAATTGGAATTATTGAATGAACAGTTCTGTAGAAAAAAGGTGGAAAACAGTCATAATGTAACTTGATTAAAAACAACATTATTTCGACAGGAAACTTTATAAAATAAATGATTTCCTCAAAGTTTATAAAATCAAATTACGCAAAAAAATAACCACGGACTTTTAAAAATAACACTTCTTGAAATTTAAGTAAAAGGGGATGTTCCATTATTTTCTAAACAATTAAGAGACACATTGATAAGTCATATATAGCACAAATGATTGTCAGCCTAAAGCTACAATTAAAAGCTTTAAAAAGCCAGGGTTTTGGTTAAAACACTCGGGATAATTTTATACAGAGTTGCATTCTTCGTGACTTTAGTTAATTACTAACCAAACACACAGGAATTACAATGTTGACTATTTCGGGTTGATCACAAAAATAGAGTGTAATAAACATACAATTAGTGTGAGAATATGCCTGAGTTACGTTCACTTTGGTTCGATAACATTTCTATAAAGTACATTTCATTACGTAATATATTGGTCATGGTGTCATTGGAAAAGGGAATATTACGGAATTGCTTAAATCTAAAAATAAATACACTACAGCAATTTTATCGAGCAGTAAGTCGGAACTTTCTTTAAAAGAACAACTCAAGATAAGATTATATGCACCGGAAAGGAATGTGAAGGGTTTGAAAACGCTGTTAGATTATTTGAATATATCTGTTTATGTCTTTTCCGATCCCGATAACAAGGGCACGCAAAGTCTCATACAAGATGTTTTATCTCCCGTTCGGAGTTCAGCGAGAGGATACTTTAATTTTCGAGACTGAGGAACGCAATCTTGAAATCATCAGTATAGGGACCATTAGAAATGATGCAAGTGCGAGAGACGCATGCAGCTCGTAAAAAAAGTTGCTCGTAAAATCATCAATGTGTGTTGTTATTTCATGGACAATGCGCATCTTACATCAAAACGTCGAGATGTACATAATTATTTGGGTTTCTTGAAATAATTCAAAATGGCGATATAACCATCCAAGCTTCAAATGAACCCTAAAATACGATGTAAATAGTTCATATTCGGACCAATCGCAACTTACTACCCCAAATTTAATGCAACTCAACTTTCAGGAAATTGCAAATAATCCTACTGGCTACTGATCACGAGGCTCTAATTTTTACATTTAAAAAGTATATTATGCCTTTGGTTTTAAGTATCACAATCATATTTTTTTCTGATCATGAATTCAGGAACATCCAGTACCATAACCTTTCAATGTAGTGACCTTCTTCTGGATTGGAATGATCGTTCATGAAAGCAATGGCCTTCTGGTACACGTGCAATGGGTGTTTCCTAATCATTTCCCGCGTGGCCCCAAAGCATCCACAGTAACAATGAGGCATGCCGTCCTTAGGCGGCGGGGCGCCAAACAAAACTCTGTAAAACTCTCCGAACGTGAGGGCCGTAACGCGCATGAGGCCTGCCTTGCGATCCTGCTTGAAATTGGCGACGTGTTTCAGCTTGCCCCACTTCCTGACCACCAGCTCGTCAGGATGTATGCAGGGGATGCCTGCTCGGGCGGACGAGATGTATTTCAAAGGGTTCCTGTGACAGAGTCCTCTGTGAAAACGGAATGCTGCTTGCAAAAATATCGTCACGTTGGGAAGATTATTGTAATGGGTGATGATGTGATGAAGATATGTATGACCCTCCCGCCCAACGTTCGGTAGTTTTTCCCAGGCATACATCTCGAACGGAGCGCTTGTGTTGGTCCCTTTGTGGTATACGTGGGCGTGGTCTGCATAAGACTTCACCCAATCCAGAGACTCGTCGTAATGTGCCACGACAATCTCATAATCTTTGAGCCCTGCATGTACGACGCGGCCCGTGTTCTTTTGGCTGTTGACACGATTGGGATCCGCGTAGGTTTCCTCCGGTACGCCTTTAAGTATCCTGTCCACGACCTCCACCCCTTGCATCAAGGAATGATCCTGATTGCCAACCTCGTATTTCCAACCTCCGAAGCGTCCACGAGAGAAGATGTCTTTGGCCTCCAGCCATGGTTGCACCGCTTTCAGAATGGCGTCTCTCTTGAGCGAGGGGACGGGATACCCGTGGTCCAAGCGACGGTAGTACTTGGAGACAATCATATCAGTGGTGATGAAGCCATAGTTGACCAAAGCCTCGATGGTCGCACTAACCACATTAGTTTGGTTCCAATTCAACATATTTCTACGAATCGGTTCAGCCGACTCACACATCAGTGACCAGTACTCTCCCGTGTGAGGCACGTGGTCTTTCGAATACTTCGAAAACACGGTGACGCGGTAAAACGGAGAATCGGAGTCCGGAAAGTACATCCAAGATTTATCAGCGAGATTATCTGGAGGTTGCCCGGTGAGGCCGATGCCTACGATGTGAGTGTGCGTGTACACCAACTGGGCTGTTATACCTTTCATCCTCTCAAGGGAAGAGTCTTTGCTTTCTAGAAAACCGACGAAGTTATCCAAGGGAACAGTGGAGATCAGTGTAGAGTAGCTCAGTGTGGAGAGGGAGTTTTGATTTCGAGTTGACTCGATGGTGATAACCTTGTTGTCCACATCAATTTCGATTACCTTTTCGTGGAACTTAAACCAGGACCTTGGAAGCAGTTTGGCCACCGAAGACCAAATCCCACCGGTGCCATTGTAGCGTGGAAAGCGGAAGAATCGGTTGGGACCCCACTCGGAATCCTTAGCCAGTTTCCCGCTGTTTGCTTTATGAATCTTGTCCTTTATTGCCGTGGCATTTGGCACTGCTACCCTCTCGCCGACCCAGACCGAGTTCATCTCCGTCGTGTCCACCGTCCACACTTTCTTGTTGTATTTTCTCATGAATACCTCACAGAGGCCCTTGCCAAACTTTTGCAGAAGCCACTCGTCGAAGGTCCTGGGCGGCTTGACCGGCGGGTTGTTGGTAATCTCTTCCAACCCAGACAGGGATTTTTCTTGGTCCTGCTTATGCATGGTGTGGATGTTGTGTTGGACGGGGTAAGGTATGAATCTCCTCTTGTCGTCTGGTCCCTTCATGTAGGCGAAAGCTGCCCTCACGTGCTTGTTCCAATTGGGCACAGCCCGGTCCAATGTCTGATCGAAGTAAGAGTAATGAGAGAAGATGACATGCCCTCCCATGTCCCACAAGAACCCCTGATCGTCCCTCTCTGACACCGCTAAGCCTCCAGGTTGTCCCCGCTGCTCAAGCACAATAACCTCGGTGTTGTTGAGTTCTTGTTGGAATTCGTACAGTCTCTGAACAGCTCCTAGAGCGGTAGGTCCGCTGCCTATGATGACGATTCTCCGTCTGCCCTTTGGCAAATAATTGTGGGATCTTGGATTAACGGTCATTTCTGAAAGAAAATAAAAACCAAGC